TAGGAATCTCGTGTAGTAGATAGTAGATAAACTAGAGGGACAGTAGGAATCTCGTAGTAGATAGTAGATAGGGACAGTGGGAATCTCGTAGTAGATAGTAGATAGGGACAGTAGGAATCTCGTAGTAGATAGTAGATAGGGACAGTGGGAATCTCGTAGTAGATAGTAGATGTGACAGTGGGAATCTCGTAGTAGATAGTAGATAGGTGACAGTAGGAATCTCGTAGTAGATAGTAGATGTGACAGTGGGAATCTCGTAGTAGATAGTAGATAGGGACAGTAGGAATCTCGTAGTAGATAGTAGATAGGGACAGTGGGAATCTCGTAGTAGATAGTTGATAGGGACAGTGGGAATCTCGTAGTAGATAGTAGATAGGGACAGTAGGAATCTCGTAGTAGATAGTAGATAGGGACAGTAGGAATCTCGTAGTAGATAGTAGATAGGGACAGTAGGAATCTCGTAGTAGATAGTAGATAGGACAGTAGGAATCTCGTAGTAGATAGTAGATAGGGACAGTGGGAATCTCGTAGTAGATAGTAGATGTGACAGTGGGAATCTCGTAGTAGATAGTAGATAGGGACAGTAGGAATCTCGTAGTAGATAGTAGATAGGGACAGTAGGAATCTCGTAGTAGATAGTAGATAGGGACAGTGGGAATCCTCGTAGATAGAGAGTAGATGTGACAGTAGGAATCTCGTAGTAGATAGTAGATAGGGACAGTAGGAATCTCGTAGTAGATAGTAGATAGGGACAGTGGGAATCTCGTAGTAGATAGTAGATAGGGACAGTAGGAATCTCGTAGTAGATAGTAGATAGGGACAGTGGGAATCTCGTAGTAGATAGTAGACAGGACACAGTAGGACAGTAGGAATCTCGTAGTAGATAGTAGATAGGGACAGTGGGAATCTCATAGTAGATAGATAGTAGATAGGGACAGTGGGAATCTCGTAGTAGATAGTAGATAGGGACAGTAGGAATCTCGTAGTAGATAGTAGATAGGGACAGTAGGAATCTCGTAGTAGATAGTAGATAGGGACAGTAGGAATCTCGTAGTAGATAGTAGATATGGACAGTAGGAATCTCGTAGTAGATAGTAGATAGGGACAGTAGGAATCTCGTAGTAGATAGTAGATAGGGACAGTGGGAATCTCGTAGTGTAGTAGATAGTAGATAGGGACAGTAGGAATCTCGTAGTAGATAGTGACAGTGGGAATCTCGTAGTAGATAGTAGATAGGGACAGTGGGAATCTCGTAGTAGATAGTAGATGTGACAGTGGGAATCTCGTAGTAGATAGTAGATAGGGACAGTGGGAATCTCGTAGTAGATAGTAGATAGGGACAGTGGGAATCTCGTAGTAGATAGTAGATAGGGACAGTAGGAATCTCGTAGTAGATAGTAGATAGGACAGTGGGAATCTCGTAGTAGATAGTAGATAGGGACAGTGGGAATCTCGTAGTAGATAGTAGATAGGGACAGTAGGAATCTCGTAGTAGATAGTAGATAGGGACAGTGGGAATCTCGTAGTAGATAGGGACAGTGGGAATCTCGTAGTAGATAGTAGATAGGACAGTGGGAATCTCGTAGTAGATAGTAGATAGGGACAGTAGGAATCTCGTAGTAGATAGTTGATAGGGACAGTAGGAATCTCGTAGTAGATAGTAGATAGGGACAGTGGGAATCTCGTAGTAGATAGTAGATAGGGACAGTGGGAATCTCTAGATAGTAGATAGAATCTCATTAGTAGATAGTAGACAGTAGATAGGGGAATCTCTGTAGTAGATAGTAGATAGGGACAGTGGGAATCTCGTAGTAGATAGTAGATAGGGACAGTAGGAATCTAGATAGTAGATAGGACAGTAGATAGGATGACAGTGGGAATCTCGTAGTAGATAGTAGATAGGGACAGTGGAGGAATCTCGTAGTAGATAGTAGATGGGACAGTAGGGAATCCTGGAATCTGGTAGTAGATAGTAGATAGGGACAGTGGGAATCTCGTAGTAGATAGTAGATGGGACAGTGGGAATCTCGTAGTAGATAGTAGATAGGGACAGTGGGAATCTCGTAGTAGATAGTAGATGGACAGTGGGAATCTCGTAGTAGATAGTAGATAGGGACAGTGGGAATCCTCGTAGTAGATAGTGGGGAATCTCGAATCTAGGGACAGTAGGAATCTCGTAGTAGATAGTAGATGTGACAGTGGGAATCTCGTAGTAGATAGTAGATAGGGACAGTAGGAATCTCGTAGTAGATAGTAGATAGGGACAGTGGGAATCTCGTAGATAGTAGATAGACAGATAGGGACAGTAGGAATCTCGTAGTAGATAGTAGATAGGGACAGTAGGAATCCTCGTAGTAGATAGTAGATGTGACAGTGGGAATCTCAGTAGTAGTAGATAGTAGATAGGGACAGTGGGAATCTCGTAGTAGATAGTAGATGATAGGGACAGTAGGAATCTCGTAGTAGATAGTAGATAGGGACAGTGGGAATCTCGTAGTAGATAGTAGATGTGACAGTAGGGAATCTCGTAGTAGATAGTAGATAGGGACAGTAGGAATCTCGTAGTAGATAGTAGATAGGGACAGTGGGAATCTCGTAGTAGATAGTAGATAGGGACAGTGGGAATCTCGTAGTAGATAGGGACAGTGGGAATCTCGTAGTAGATAGTAGATAGGGACAGTAGGAATCTCGTAGTAGATAGTACAGTGGGAATCTCGTAGTAGATAGGGACAGTGGGAATCTCGTAGTAGATAGTAGATAGGGACAGTGGGAATCTCGTAGTAGATAGTAGATAGGGACAGTGGGAATCTCGTAGTAGATAGTAGATAGGGACAGTGGGAATCTCGTAGTAGATAGTAGATAGGGACAGTGGGAATCTCGTAGATAGTATAGGGACAGTGGGAATCTCGTAGTAGATAGTTGATAGGGACAGTGGGAATCTCGTAGTAGATAGGGACAGTGGGAATCTCGTTAATCCATTCATGCGCGTCACTAATTAAATAAATAAAGAACTTGTCCTCCATAAAGTATCTTGCTTTTCTTTATTGTTTTTGTCTGTGGAGCATTTGTTTGTTAAAACATAGCAGTGAAAATAACTAATTGTGTGAACCTTCTTTTTTTGCCGAAATCATAATTCACAAAAGGACAAATTTACCATACATAGGACTGGTTATTACTTTAATGAGTGACTAACATAGAAGATCAGATTTGAGGTGTGCAGATTTCTTCTGTACTGTGTACAATGTATTTCCTTTAGCTATATGTAAATGTATGTATTACACTAACCTCAGAGTTGAGAAGAAGTTACATATATGTATTGCTTGAGATTATCACTGTGATGTTTTACATTTTGTGAAAGACTAGGAGAATTAATACACATTATCTAAATTTGATGTAGCTGAATACAGGTGACGAAGTTGAGGTTCCATCGTTTGTTCACAGAGACTATTTCAACTCTTAAATGCCAAATCAAACAGATCCTCGTCTCACATTTGCCGGTTTCATATTTAGTAGATATGACAGCAGAAAAGAAACTGTATGCGTGTTCCATTTCCCTTATTGTATGCGTGTTCCATTATTGTATGCGTGTTCCATTATTGTATGCATGTTCCATTAGTGTATGCATGTTCCATTAGTGTATGCGTGTTCCATTATTGTATGCGTGTTCCCATTATTGTATGCGTGTTTCCGTTATTGTATGTATATTCCATTATTGTATGCGTGTTCTATTATTGTTGTATGCATGTTCCATGTTCCATTATTGTATGCGTGTTCATTATTATTGCATGCGTGTTCCATTATTGTATGCGTGTTTTCATTATTGTATGCATGCCATGTTCCATTATTGTATGCGTGTTCCATTATTGTATGCGTGTTCCATTATTGTATGCATGTTCCATTATCGTATGCGTGTTCCATTATTGTATGCGTGTTTTCGTTATTGTATGCATGTTCCATTATTGTATGCGTGTTCCATTATTGTATGCATGTTCCATTATTGTATGCGTGTTCCATTATTGTATGCATGTTCCATTATTGTATGCATGTTCCATTATCGTATGCATGTTCCATTATTGCGTATGCGTGTTCCATTATTGTATGCATGTTCCATTATTGTATGCATGTTCCATTATCGTTATGCATGTTCCATTATTGTATGCGTGTTCCATTGTATGCATGTTCCATTATTGTATGCATGTTCCATTATTGTATGCGTGTTCCATTATTGTATGCATGTTCCATTATTGTATGCATGTTCCATTATCGTATGCGTGTTCCATTATTGTATGCGTGTTCCATTATTGTATGCGTCTTTCCGTTATTGTATGTATATTCCATTATTGTATGCATGTTCCGTTATTGTATGCATGTTCCATTATCGTATGCGTGTTCCATTATTGTATGCGTGTTCCATTATTGTATGCATGTTCCATTATTGTATGCATGTTCCATTATCGTATGCGTGTTCCATTATTGTATGCATGTTCCATTATTGTATGCATGTTCCATTATTGTATGCATGTTCCATTATCGTATGCGTGTTCCATTATTGTATGCGTGTTCCATTATTGTATGCATGTTCCATTATTGTATGCGTGTTTCCGTTATTTCCTTCAGTGTCCTCTATATGATAGATTTAGAGTTGATAATTATACTTCTTTCAAAACAATATAAGTTTACATGCTATTCTAAGCGGCGACAAATCATTGTCTCAGTATGAAAACGAATTAATAATAAAATCGGTTTATAATTTCTTGAAAGATACCAACCGTTTTCCATAAAGTGTGGTATCATGGGACCCTCTATTATCGCGGTAGTTAGTGTTGTCGCCATCGGGATTATGAATGTCATGTTTGAAATTATTGAATTCGTTATTTCCCTCATCTACTTCAACAACGACTGCTACTACTCCCTCATCTACTTTAACAACAACGACTGTAACTTCTCCCTCATCTACTTCAACAACGACTGCTACTATTCCCCATCTACTTCAACAACAGCAACTGTAGCTACTCCTTCATCTACTTCAACAACGACTGCTACTACTCCTTCATCTACTTCAACAACTACGACTGTAACTACACCCCCATCTACTTCAACAACTACGACTGTAACTACTCCCTCACCTACTTCAACAACTACGACTGTAACTCACTCCTAGACTGCTTCAACAACTACGACTGTAACTACACCTCCTCATCTACTTCAACAACGACTGCTACTAATCTACGACTGCTACTCCCTCATCTAACTCAACAACAACTGTACTGCTACATCTATCTTCAACAACAACTACGACTGTAACTACACCCTCATCTACTTCAACAACGACTGCTACTACTTCAACCCTGCATCTACTTCAACAACGACTGTAACTACTCCCTCATCTACTTCAACAACAACGACTGCTACTACACCCTCATCTACTTCAACAACGACTGCTACTACACCCCCATCTACTTCAACACCTACGACTGCTACTACTTCCCTCATCTACTTCAATCAACAACAACTACGACTGCTAACTACACCCCCATCTACTTCAACAACAACGACTGCTACTACTCCCTCATCTACTTCAACAACTACGACTGTAACTACACCCTCATCTACTTCAACAACAACGACTGTAACTACACCCTCATCTACTTCAACAACTACGACTGTAACTACACCCCCATCTACTTCAACAACAACGACTGCTACTACTCCCTCATCTACTTCAACAACTACGACTGTAACTACACCCCATCTACTTCAACAACAACGACTGCTACTACTCCCTCATCTACTTCAACAACTACGACTGCTACTACACCCCCATCTACTTCAACAACAACGACTGCTACTACACCCTCATCTACTTCAACAACTACGACTGTAACTACACCCTCACCTACTTCAACAACTACGACTGTAACTACACCCCCATCTACTTCAACAACAACGACTGCTACTGCTCCTCATCTACTTCAACAACTACGACTGTAACTACACCCTCATCTACTTACAACAAACGACTGTACTACACCCTCATCTACTTCAACAACTACGACTGCTACTACAACGACTGACTGTAACTACTGACCCTCATCTACTTCAACAACAACGACTGCTACTGCTCCAACCTCATCTACTTCAACAACGACTGCTACTACACCCTCATCTACTTCAACAACTTCAACAACGACTGCTACTGCTCCCTCACCTACTTCAACAACTACGACTGTAACTACACCCTCATCTACTTCAACAACGACTGCTACTACTCCCTCACCTACTTCAACAACAACGACTGTAACTACTTTCAACAACTACGACTGTAACTAACCTCCAACGACTGTACGACTGCTACTACTCCTCATCTACTTCTTCTTCGACTGTAACTACAACAACGACTGCTACTACACCCCCATCTACTTCAACAACAACGACTGCTACTACTCCCTCATCTACTTCAACAACGACTGTAACTAACCCTCACCTACTTCAACAACTACGACTGTAACTACACCCTCATCTACTTCAACAACAACGACTGCTACTGCTCCCTCATCTACTTCAACAACGACTGTAACTACACCCTCATCTACTTCAACAACGACTGCTACTGCTCCCTCACCTACTTCAACAACGACTGTAACTACTCCCTCATCTACTTCAACAACGACTGCTACTACTCCCTCACCTACTTCAACAACGACTGTAACTACACCCTCATCTCATCTACTTCAACAACGACTGCTACTGCTCCTCTCACCTACTTCAACAACGACTGTAACTACTCCCTCATCTACTTCAACAACGACTGCTACTGCTCCCTCATCTACTTCAACAACGACTGTAACTACACCCTCATCTACTTCAACAACGACTGCTACTACTCCCTCATCTACTTCAACAACGACTGTAACTACTCCCTCATCTACTTCAATAACGACTGCTACTACTCCCTCATCTACTTCAACAATTACGACTGTAAATAGATGAGGGAATAGGTACAGTCTTATTTGTTGAAGTAGGTGAGGGAGTAGTTACAGTCGTTGTTGCTGAAGTAGTGGAGTGAGTGAGTGTTAACGAATATTTAACAGTTTTATCACCTGATGTGGGAGTAAATCCCAAAGTGAAACCGTCATTAGACGTCACCACATTGGTGAGTGAGTTTAGTTTTACGCCGCACTAAGCAATATTCCAGCTATATGGCGGCAGCCTTTAAATAATCGAGTCTGGACCAGACACCCCAGTGATCAACAGCATGAGCACCGATCTACGCTATTGGGATACGATGACATGTGTCAACCAAGTCAGTGAGACTGACCACCCGTTCCTGTTAGTTGCCTCTTACGACAAGCATGGTTTACTGAAGATCAATTCTAACCCGCACCTTTACGCGTAACACTTTGGTGAACACTATGAGCACGGACTTGGTGCCGACTGGGGCATTACAGGGGCAAGCCGCAAGTCATTTCGGAGCACCCGATTGACGCAACTCTGTTTAGCGGGAGTGAGTTTAGTTTTACGCCATTTTTAGCAATATTCCACCAATATCACGGCGGGGAACCCCAGAAATGGGCTTCACACACTGTACCCATGTGGGGAATCGAACAAGGGTCTTCGGCGTGAGGAGCGAACGTCTTAACCACTAGGCTACCCCACCGCCCCTCTGTAAGAGGTGCCATGGGCCACTGCGCAACCGGTAGGCATGATCGATCCGAATGTGAGTTTATTACATTGTAAATATACCAAAATGTGTTTGCTATAACTGAGGGGCGGTGGGGTAGCCTGATACTAGTGTGTTTCTGCTATAACTGAAAAAGAGCAAACCTTTTATATAAAAATAGTATCCGGTGCTATTATCTATTTATAATCATTATGTTTTTTTCGGAAGGCTCGAAATTAGAAATGACAGAAAATTACACTTGACAGAAATAAAAAAAATAACACAAAACATAACATCATTATTTTCAACAGCTACATCTAATGATCATTAAGTATGTATTTGCTTACGTCACAACTTATAACCTTTTAAACTGACATTACAAACTGTCCAATCAGCTTTAAGTGTCATTTTCAACTCATGACAGAGTACTACTCCTCGCTAGTGCCAACTCGTTAACACTGTTTGTACGACTTGAGTTATCGTTTATGGATAAATAGGTTTATTCAATGCTTCTGTCTTCGTAAAGGCAAGTGTTTGTGGTTTTGTGGGTATAACAAAGCCCTTTGTGCCGGGACGGATTACCGGGAGATTATCGCCTCGCTCCGCGGTAGTGGTGACTGACAATTCGACGCGCACGTGTTATTACAATAGGATTAACATCCTTCAACACCTTGGTAATGGGCTTACCTGTACATTAAAGTAGACTAGCCCTACCGCCTTTCAAAAAGTGTTGGGCCGGTAATGTGTTTACTTACATTAATTGCTTATGAAGCGGAACACTTAGTGGAAAATCCAACGTAAATAGCTTGGTTTTGTAGATATTGAATTACCACGTTTAAGATAGCCTTTATCCATGAAACATTTGAAGGTCATGAAACCTTAAACTATACTGATAAAAGGTTAGTAGTATTCAGTTCCCAACATAAATTTTATTTGATTAAAGTACGCATCTATTAATGGATGGAGATCTTCAAAATATCATCTAACCGGAATAGCATTAAATGCCGTGTTATCGGAATGTGGTGATGGTTTTACACTCCGCAAATGTGAATTTAAATCAGTGAAAATATTTACAGGCGTCGTTAGGTCCACACACACGCACGCACACGCACGCACGCACACCATATGGAAAAATTACAATACGCACTGATACTGTAGTTCAGGACACACGTGTTAACACAATACGCATTAATACCTCAGTTCAACACACACGTGTTAACACAATACGCCTGGTACTGCGTTTAACACATACGTTTTAATAAATAGGCATTGACAGTGTAGTTCAGCACATACGCACCCATACAACATGCGTACATAATGTATTTCACTCACTCACTCACTCACTCACTCACTCACTCACTCACTCACTCACTCACTCACTCACTCACTCACTCACTCACTCACTCACTCACTCACTCACTCACTCACTCACTCACTCACTCACTCACTCACTCACTCACTCACTCACTCACTCACTCACTCACTCACTCACTCACTCACTCACTCACTCACTCACTCACTCACTCACTCACTCACTCACTCACTCACTCACTCACTCTTTAACAGCCATGATGTTGGCATTCCAAGTCTAGAGCTGGATTTAAACATAAAAAACACTTGCATTTCTACACAACTCAAGTCATTTGCATGAGCAGCATTATTAAAAATCTTTGAAATTCTTTGCTTGTTGAAACATATACGTTGCCTTTGACATCATTCTGAACATTCTTTTTGTACATATCTGAATTCCGCCTCTTATCCTTTGTGAATTGTCTGGCTTCATCAACTTATAATTACGGCGAAGCCACATATTCTAATTATGTTGTTTTCATTGTTACATTCAGTAATTAAATACATCCCCTCCCTTTCATGTCACATTCCTGCTTGACGACGGTGCAAGGATCTGTATAGGAACGTCGCACTCACAAAATAAACGAAGTTGTTATCCCTAAATTTGTCAGTTTTACACGAGAACAAACACATGATATATTCTTTAAGTGGCATCTAGAAATTGTTCTGATGAACGGGGCGGGTAGTTATAGGGATGTACTTCCTGATCTAAGAAAGCTGGAACTCTTGTATGTCTGTACGTTTACCGTTATTGCAGCACTTATCATCATATTGTTAATTGCACCTTTGCTTCATTTATCTATGAACACATGTTTATATATCTATGAACACATGAGTTCATGTAGAAGTCGTATATGCAAAGAACTATCTTTCATGTTGATATAAATATTTAACTCTACGGAACGTTATAGATATTAGGGCTGTAACGACGCATCGAACTATCGATGCATTGCAATTGTAGAGTCTCCGATAGCAATTAATCGATTGTAGAAACGAAAAACTATCGGTGCATCGATAGCATGTGTGAGTATCGATAGTTTAGTAATTAACTTCCGTTGATAAATGGGCAGCGCAAAATAAAGGATATTTGGGTGCAGACTTGCAGCTTCACTGAGTTTATGTTTAACCGTTTACTTGATCTGGGTTTCAAGTTTCTTGTCAGCTATTAGAAGAGGCTGAAACTACTTCAACTTGTGTTTATTTCATTTAAACTATACATTTATTTGGGAAATGATTTCAAATGAGACAAGTCAAAGAGAGAAACAAACTGTTGCAATAGTTGATCGCAATAGACGACTATCGCTATCGCAATAGTATGTTGCAGTAGACTATCGCTATGGCAATAGTTGTTTCATCCTCAATAGTCACCCAAAATAGATATATTGCCAGATCAAGAAACTCACATTTGATTTTTCACACATTACAAAATTACACAAATAGAACGCTATCATATTCCATACATAGTCAAATACTAAAGAACAGAAGAAATATATACGTATATAAAATCTTATTTTGCAGATTTCAATTACTTGATAAATATAGCTCTCACTTTACGACGCGGCAATAAGGTCGTGTTACCACACATATTCACGTTACGCTCACACTAATATAAAACGTATATATAATGATTTTTATTCTCCTTGACATGACACTGATGTAAGGATAACTGATTTATCGACCAGTCTTAAGGGGACAGGCCATTTAATATTCAGGGGTGGGCTCTATATGTAGGTGTGTAGTAGGGGCAGACCAACGCAGACTCCAGCACACAAACCGATGCCAACATGTGGCGATGTTTAACATTTCGATGTCTCATCGTGACCCGGGCCTCATCTTCCCGACGGATGCAAGACACAGAGATGCGCAATTATTTTATACCGCCAACTATGACGAATGGCTAGTGACGACCATACAATTGAGCCACATTTATCAACTGTGACACTTAAGGTCATAGGCCATATCCGTTTATCACCTTTAACCTTACAATGGTTTCCTGATAAGTATAACGTAACCTTTTGTATACAACAAATTATATTTCAAACATCCCATGTGTTATTACTGTTATATGAGACGTGGGTGAGCCTGTTTCTTCAATATATCGATGAGCGAGCCTGTTTCTTCAATATATCAATGAGCGAGCCTGTTTCGTGTCTCAAACATTTCCATTCAACTAATAGTCATATCTGACCTTTCAAACCTGTTGTAGAGTCTACGGAGACAAATATATGTTTCAAACTCACCCATATTAATAAAATCCGGATTACACTGGGAAAATTGTCTCTTGATATAATCGCAGCAGCTATTGAGGGATGTTGATCCATTTCTTAGCTATAGTATGCACTGATTGATGGAATCACCCGTTTCATTCAGCTCACGAGAACATGGATTTAATCATTGCTACTCGAACACGAACTTGTACATCGGATGTCTAAGCGCTGCATAGTGCAAACGATATAACCATTCTGATGTCTTAACACTTTAAAAGGTCACGCCACACACCTTGTGACAAGAAACTGCTCTCATCCCTTTTATAAGACGTATAAAGAGACGATTGTAGCTCGCGTAACTTACCCAGCGGATCTGTGAACACCCGCTTTTGTGGGCGCATGTATACAAAGATGTGTATCTACTCGTAGTGTTTAGACCAAGTCCACCTCGTCTGTTTCAACCTGTGTTAGTATGTACATATACCGTGTATGGAGTAGGAGTATTAATTGAAGACTTGCATTGTAAGGATATGAGTGTTTCGTTCCTCACGCAAGGAGGGGCGTAAGGGTGGGACGGTACTATCCCTAGAACGCCGAAGGACAGGCTGCGGACGTTTAGTGTTGTAACGGCTAGAAATCCCCTGTGATGATACTGGGAAAATACCCCATGGATATTCCCTTGATAAAGTGAACACGGACTCTTCATGACAAGTAGGGGAAAGAGTTGTTTGAAATCTGATCATATCGAGATTGAGGTTATAGAAGAATCGCTACAAAGTGTTTCGTTGAAGCGTGAAGACGGACCACGCAGGCGAGGCAGGCAGCCGTCGGAGCCCAGCAAGTTGAGTTGAGTAGCATTTGCCACTGGGAGTGAAACGGGACAGTAACTCACTCTCATGTCACAGCGCTACCCTAGCAGATAATACTAAGTGGGGGGATAGAGTTAGAAGTCGTGTCTTCCCTTCAAGGTCGCGCAGGAGGTTTACCAGGATTTCTACCACGCGGATATTAGAGAAGCAGGTGCGTCGACAACACGAGACAGGTGTGCTTGTGTCGGGAACAAGGCCGCATGAGTATCTGTCACCCAGCAGACGACACAATGAGAGAATATTACAGGAAAACCCAGCATCGCATCACAGTCGGGTGCCTCCCTGGGCCACAAGTATAGTGTCACGAGAGCTGTCACTCTGCCTCTTTCAATTAATCCATCCATAGTTTGTGTAGGACTAGTGCTACTAGTTGGCATTACTGTGTTCTCGTGTAATCAGCTTAGCTTAATATTATGAAGGTGCGAATAACTTAAAACTAGTGGTGTTTATACGCGGGATTATCGTCTTACGTGTCAATCAGTTTGGAAGAGGCAGACGACATCATAGCAGGTGGCTGCATTTTACTCAGTGTTCTGGCTTCAAACTTAGGACTCACAAAGATGGAGAATGTCGTCTGCGACAGACTACCTGGCGCCAGGTCGTCAACCATTGCTCGGATTTGGTGTGCGATGTTTCTGTACATAATGGTAACCCGGATTGTTGAGGTGGATGGACTTACCAAACGATCTCGTCCGACAGACGCTATAGACAGGCTGTCAAAAGTTTTTGGAATTTCTAAAATCCCAGCACGAATATTTCACCGTTCACCTCCTCAGTACATGACGGAGCTGTATAATTCCATCACAGAAACTGGAGGTCTGACAACGAAAGCCGGACCTTACAATGCAGATGTTGTGCGGAGCTTCCCTGACAAAGGTACGACCTGATTATTTTGGTATCTATGATTATTTCTAATTAATTTCTTATTAATCGTCTTTGTCCTAGAAGATATCAACACGAAGACTTTCGTAACCCGTTTACTGCAGATGACTGATTTCGTTAATAATATATACAAAAAATAACTATAGTGCATCGACAATACGTTTTAGATTTCATATGAATTTTTAACACGATTTATAGCTATTTTATCAAAACTGTTTGGGTCCTGTCTTGCCATTTGAAGGTTAAACTAAAAACAAGTGGATAATCTTTTTTAAATGATACAGTTTTAATAATGATTTGGAAATAAATTTAAATTTGTCGAGTATGAACATTTGGTGTTAAAATTTCGCGAAGTTTGTAAATAATCCCCACTCCACTGTTTGTAATGTTCCATCCTTCTGTATGAGCGGCATATTCAATTGAAGCAGTCATGTCTTAAAGCTTGTCCAGTCAACGCGCCACAATAACAAGTCACGAACCATACACATATTGCAGTGGAAGAGCGCACACCGATGTATGTGACTAGGTGCAACAGCGTTCAACACGGAGAGGAAGCTTATGACACAGACAATATGTTGCTGAAGTGAGAGTATTGTGTGTCAGGAGCTTGGGGACTTAGATACAAACAAAATTGAAATAAATGGTTATTAAATATAGACACTTTTGTGACGAGATAAATTAGCTTTGGGGAAGGCTAAGATAGTTGATTCATTGGCTGTACGTCAGGGACAAATGTGATAAAGAAAACAGACTGAACGGCAACGTGCAGACAAATAAATGTTGTTAAGACGCTAGGTTTGGCTTCAGTAGGTGGTGTGTATTGCGCTTGTCGTGGGAGAAGGCCATGGATGACTTAAGAAGACGACGCAGCTAGTGTTGACACTGTCGAAGCCGATATGTTCCTATACCATCTGACCAAGTGGGGATTGTGTAGGGTAAATACACGAGTAGAAAGTTCACCTGTTCGTCAGATCGCATGGTCGGTATTTGAGTTATATACGGCTTTTCAAACGCGACCAAAGTACCCATGCCGTTGCTCAACCCATTTATATTATGTGTTAAGATTAGATAGATATTATTCATATTTCAACAAAATGTATATCCAGTATGCGTGAATGGGAGGCAGGTTGTGACGCGTGTCGACATGGTATGTGGTCCTACAGGGAGAGATGTACTGCCCCCTAAAGTCACTGATACACCTATTCCGCTAGCATTATAACATTACTCCATACAATAGGTACTAATTTGTGTACAACCCGAACATGCTTGTAAACACTGGTCAGTGTGTCAGGGCATGTATAGATTTGATGACATTTCTTAGAAGTGTGTTGTCAACCCAGTTAAAACGTGGACAATGCACGTTGGGGTGATTGGGACTTGTTGAACGGATCGCACATTCTTGACATTCTGTAGAAAGTGAGTGTGCTACTTCGTTAAGGCTCGTTTGTTATTGACACCAGCTACACTCATGCAGCTTTATCACCTATAGTACCGCTTGACCAAAACAAACTGACATGTTCATCAGAGTATTTCGTTATCCGTGGAGAATTTTTGGTTTTCAAATCTAGTAATGAAGGATATTTTCAGAACTGGACCGTTAAAATTATTTACCAAACCTATGCATGCTCCTTGTCACAGATACTGCATTGACGCCTTGGAGCATCTGTGTCTCTGGGAAGGTGAACTACACATTGATATGTTCGTCAGAGTATTTCGTTATCCAAGTTTTCGATTGTTAAAATTTAAACTGCTCTTAAAATAAGAAAACATAACTGTAATATCTGGAAGTACTTTATGTTCTATATTATACTTAATAATTTCATTGCCAATGGATAGCAATATTAACTTTGACGTTTGTAGAAACTGGATAGGTTGGTTTTTTGTTCAATATAGCAAAATACATTACATTGTTGCAGCAAAATACATTAAAATCTATGAAGGATATTTTGTCAGAACTGGAACGCTAAAATTGTCATCCAAACCTATTTCAAACAAACACTTAAACTTTAAAGAGACATAAACCTTCACCAATGACATCAGTTTTTGTTCTGACTTCTACATGATTAAGTAGTTGTCATACATTAAAGTCAGTTGCATCTCCCTGACGTGTCTAAATGCTCATCAAAGCCTCTACCAACCTGTCATTTTGACGTTTCAATCATCAACTCTCCTGGGTGGGTAGTTAATTTCTATATGCAGTTAAATAGGACAGGCGGAGTGTTATATGGTGATTTTCAATCAAAGTGAAAGATGAAATGGATGATAGATAACTGAAAGATATTTTCATAACTATTCTGGGGGCTATTCATCTCACTATAACTGTCAACTGAAGTTTGTTGAAACGTGTTTTACAATATTATATATATATGAGATTTAAATATTTAACGAAGAAGTTTTTAGAAAGTGCTGCTTATATTTTGGCCACGGAGTCAAAGCGTCCATTGCATCACTGGAGATACACGGGTGTTATGGCATTCCAGAGTTTGAACAAAGAAACATTATGTTTTAGCATCAGTAAACACATATTAACAGAGTTATGTATGATATTATGTCACCACGCTGTCATCATCTTTCAATATGAAAGATTATAAATTAAGCATATTAGCCCTTACTTGAAGTGACGAAATTAAAATTAAATATTAAGAAAATAGGATAGCTTGGAGTGCAAATCAGAGACCATATGACTTTGAAGGCGTCAAGCAACCACATTATTCTTCTGATGTGACTGTCAAACTTTCATCTTTTCAAATTATTAGAAAAGCTATAGCCTGAAACCATTTCGATCCAAACGAAGACGTCTTAGAAGTTTGACAGCCACGACAATGACTTCTACAAGATGGGAATACAATCCCTCAAAACATCGTTGCAAAAACTGTATCAATCTGGAAAGGTGTTGTATACTAGTACTAGTATATCATTTGCATGTCCGAAGGACTTATCTTTCTATTTGATGCTCAGAACTTATCATTCACCCCTTCTGTTACCCCCTATCAACGAGAACAAAAATCGGGTACCCACAGTTTGGAAAACTTATCATTTTCGATGGCCTTCATCACAACCTTTGTTACATAAGAACGGTATTTTTTTAGGTATTCTATCACATGTAGTAACTGAACACAAATGTAAGGTTTGGGGTATGAGAGCGGATAGTATTTATTGTGTTCTGGTACTCCTTGGAACAGAAGGAACATCAGAATCTATTTCAGAACCAACATGGAATTTTAAAATCAGTTTCCGTTTACCGCTGCGCTGCACACTTAACAGAAGGAATACTCCTTTCGGAAATAGATAATTCCAAGCGGGTTCAGTAATATCTGTATCAGATCAGATAATGGGAAAACATACGAGCGATAACCTCTGTTCACAACCTGTTATTTTCATCTGTACGTTTATGTATTCTTCTGGGCCGCGAAAAAGATAATTCTTCAAATATATACATTGTCTTTTTGCATTTGGATACTTTTATTGCAAATGTTGTAGATGGTATGCACGATATATAAATGGGTTTTTTTTATTTTTACATTTTCTGACACTCCTCACTGACTCATTGTCAACATATGTCGTAAATATATGTAAGTACAACAGTTACGGCTGCTAGAACTGCATCGTTGAACGAGACCCAAGGTCTTGTGTTGTATTTTCTACCTTACTTGTGATTTCGTACTCAACACTTTGAGACCGGATGGGACTCAACTCCAAAAAGTACTAGAATCTGTACTTTACTAAGAAAGTGTAATCCCAAATATAACATGTGTTACTTTGTTGACACTGTACGTGTAATTATGGATGTCTTTTATCTGCAAAGTTGATGTCTGTCTAAAAAACAGCAAACAGTAATAGTGACGTTGACACTTGAAACCAAATTTCCGGCTGCCAACTCGACAATGCATAGTGCCCCTTTGAAACCATTTTTCATGCCAGTGCTATCTGTCCTCCTTGTGGTATATCGATAAAGAATTGGTATTCAAAGATGCGTCATGAGCTCTAATATTGGCAGTGTTTCATATATAAAGATGAACTCATTGTAAGGAGGCTATGCGAACTTATGGCAAGGATGTCTTAAAATACGTCAAATAGACTAGCCAAACTAAATAAGGAATGAGCAAAGTGACGTCAGTGTTTAATTCTCAACTTTGTACCAATGATCTCATCAGCTGTTGATAAAGGTTCTCGTATCTGTATTGAAACGTTTTGGCGAACCTTTATGATGGGCAAGGTGTAAATGCGCCTAGTTGCCCGAACACCTATTAAACTTTTAAGTCTCTTTCTATCTATCGTCGCCTTAAAATCCGTATGTCGACTCTGTCTGAGACGGCACGATGTGTCTGTTAATTGATTGTACGCCTGAACTGCAAACGAAAATATTGCTGATAGGTGGATGAAAATGTTAATTTTCATAAGTCTGTAAACGGAAGGATGTTTATCTGTAAGAAATGGATTTTGTGACCCTTGTCTTGAGCTGCTTATGTTAACGACAGAAGCTCACACGTGGATTAGGGGCGGTGGAGTAGCCAAACGGTTAAAGCGTTCGCTCGTCACGCCGAAGACCCGGGTTCAATTCCCCACATGGGTACAATGTGTGAAGCCCATTTCTGGTGTCCCCCGCCGTGATATTGCTGGAATATTGCTAAAAGCGGCGTAAAACCATACTCACTCACACATGGATTGAGTTGGGTTTAACGAAGCCTTGAACAGTATTTCAGTATGTGAAAGCATCATGTGGAAGGAAAACCATAATTGATGCAGGTCATAAATGGTTTTCACATCGGTGCAAGTCCACTAGCAGGGGGTATTGGACTGATCACGGATGAGCTGTCATGTACGTGAAGGTATGGGCAGAATGGTGGACATTTTAAAGGATGGGTTGATGAATGAACGAAATATGTATCTTTTGAAGCTAGGTTTAACTAAATGTAATGAGAACGATTGTCAGTATCAGCCGAAGCTTGTCTGAATCATCTACACGCCCCCTTCTTACTGCCCCGTTCCCGCCA